TTGGTGGGGCGGGAGAAAGGGGGGGGGGGGGGAAGGGGGATTGGATAATTGGAATTTGGAAATTTTTTTTAAAAGCGAAAAGAAAGAAAGACTAGGTAACTAGGTAAGTAGGTAACTAGCTGCGAGGTTGAAGTTGAAGTTGAAGTTGAAGAGATATCGGTACTGAGGGAGGAATTGGGGGGGGGAGGGGGGGGGGAGGGAGCTAGGCTGCGTAGGTATTGAGTCAAGTCAAGTCCAGTTAAGTCAAGTCAAGTCAAAGAGTAGACAGAATAGAAAGGAGAGTTTTGAAAAAAAAAAAAAAGGGCGGGGGGGGGTTATGGATAATGATTAATCAATACGAACGTTGCTTAGCTATTCTATATATGTATAGAAACCAAGAGCATTGGAGGTCATGATGACTAGGTACCTAGGTAGCAGCGATGGGCAAGGCTGTAAGTAATGATACATATTGGAGGGAGACGAGTCGACTGGGTGAGTTTTACCTACGGGGAGTACGTACGTACGTACGGACGGTCGGTCGGATGGACAGACGGACGGAATATGCTTGTCAGAGTGAGAATACTTATATGGATGTGGATATGGATATGGATATGGATATGAACATCAATCTGGATATGGATATGAATATGAATATGAATACCTGGTACTGTAGTGATATACAACACACTCGTGCTTTCGTCAGGAAGATAAATACATGAGATACAAGCGGCTAGTCTACTCTGGTCTAGCATCGCGAAGAAAGGGGATTTCCTTTCTCAGAAATAAAGTAATAGATAATAACTTCATGTCTTTGCTTGGTTGGACGCTCTGTTGGATTTTTGTACAGATAAGATATGTGAAGGGTGAAACGAATCCCCGAGATCATTGAAAATCGGATCGCGAGGTCAGAGAGCCCTAAGGTTTGATCTGGGACCGCAACAGGAAGGTGGGAGCAGATTGATCTCCTGCTCTACACTGGCTGTAACAAAAGTGCGTTCCGGTGCAAGATGACGAAAGACAACGGGGACAAAGACTGTGAGCGAGGGTTATGAAAGAAAGGGTAGTTGTTGCTGGCGGAAACCGGTTTGGGTCCCTCACTTAGCCGCATTCCCTGTGCCAAACAGTAGTTTGATATCGTCGTGTAGAAGATTACTTGGGACCTTTGAGACTCTGTTCTAGATAGCAGTACAAAGGCGAAGATCTCGAGTACCGGACATCTCACAGTCCTGCTAGTCTCGCCGCCTTGAACCTACTGACCTTTTTCGGCCCGCCTTCTTCTTCTGTAAAGGGCACGATCTCGCTCTCCTCTTCCTTCATGAAACCTCCCTGTTTCTGGATCATTCGATTACGCATCTTGTGATACTCAGTCGCAACCTGCTGGTGTAAGAGTTGGGGGTCGAGATCATCTGGTTCGGGTACAAAGGTACTGGTTGGCACATCACGCTCCACAACCGTAGGTGCCAGGATCTTGCCTTCGGGGCCTGTGGGAACCGTTCGACTCGGATCATTTACAGGATTGAAGGCGATGGACGTTGAAAATGGTTTTGGAGTCGACGGCTTGGCAGGATGAAGCGGCAGAGATATGCCTTGTAGATTGCTCGAGGATGCGAGAGGGCCGTTCAGAACGCTTGAAGAAGCAGCTTGAGCCGTTTTGAAGCGCGATGCCTTATTTTGTGGCACTGGAGTAGCCACTTGGGCTGGCGCGATCCGCTCTACGATATCACCAACTGGGGCTGCTACCCGTGGCTTCGTTGTGGGAGCGGCCGTCGATGGTACGGGACTTGGGGAAATGTCCAGGTTTTCAGAGAACCTTGCTGCCTTCTTGGTGGAGCCCCTCGGCTCTACTTCACTGGGTTCACTATCTATGATATAATCCGCGATGGTGGGAGAGCTCGAGTTCTCGTCCAGCTGGCCTTTGATTTTGATGCGACCGATGCCCTCTTCGACCACATCGTAGTCCCCGGCTTTTCCGACATTCTGCATAGCCCGGACACCAAGTCGTTCTTCGAGCTCGATCATTTGCTGCCTGACTTGATCATCAACAAGTCTCCCTGTCGACCTGCCAAACGCGTCCTCGTCGTCTATGCTGCTCATATCATCATAGCCATCATCTGTCCAATCGCTATCCTCTTCAAGCTCCAGTTCTGCTACCACGGCTCCTACTTCTGACATGCCATATTGAAGCATTTCTTGGCGTAGGGCAGCGTCTTCCAGGCTTTCGCTCTTGGGTATGACGGGAGTCTCCGAAGGGGGCGTTTCTTGCTGCTTTGCCATCTTCATTATTTCTTCAAGTCGCTTTGCCGTCTGCGACTTTTCAACATTTGGGCCGGGCTTCGTATCTTCTGCGAACTTGACCCCTTTCTTCTTGGGCTTGGATGTTTTTGGTATGGGCTTCGGACGGGCGCTGTCTGAGATCATCGGGGACACCTTGTCTGCGGTAGGTGTGACTTCTGGAGCTGGTACTTCCGGAGCTGGTTGAGACGGATTTAGACCTTTGACTCCAGCCTTCTCCAATACTTCCAAGAGCTGGGGCTTCGCGCTGCCGGGTGTAGACAAACGGCTGGATATGACATTGCCCTCTTCGTCCAGCTCCTCCACGATTTCGGTCAAGGGCAGACCTTCTTCATTCCGCACATCTGGAGTACTAATGATGCTGGCAGCCGCCAGCTTCTCTTCTGCCTTGCCGATTTGCTTCTCGATGGTCCGGATATTCTGCTCAACGTAGTCTATGCGCCGGTCCAATAAGTTGACCACCTGGGCCGTTGCGCGCGCCTCCTTGACCCCCAGTATGTCCTCGAGTTCCTTCCTGGTAACTAGTTGGCCTTCGTAATCGCGAGCGATAGCAAGGAGTTGTTCCCGGGTTGGGGTGGACGGGGCAGCTAGAATTTCCTCCTTGAAGCCCTCATACTCAGCCTCCCAGATCTGCCAATGTAGCATCGACTTCCGAAGCTTGACGATATTCTCCTCAAGCAGCTGACGATGACGCTCTAGGTCCAAGAAGCTGTCTTTGACGAATTTTGTCATGGTTGGTGGTGTAGTAGTAGTGTGTTGGTGTTTGCTGGTGGTGTTCAGAAGAAAATCGAAGAAAAAAGCCCGAGTTCAAAAGCCCGACTCGCTTACTTCGATACTGTTTACACCCGAGCTAGTCCAGGTGATGATCCATGTGCTTCGTCCGTTAACAATCAATCTGATCTCTACCTATTTCACCAGACCCAGTAACACCGATACCGACACCTGCAGAATCCACTTGAAAACCTGACTTGAATTGAGAATCCTGCTACCAAGTGCACTCACTCACTCTACTGCGGAGTGTCTGTTGCTGTTCGGTTCGGGGATCAATAGGTGGGGCGTAGCTATGCTACCGAATAAGGCTTAGATCCACCCCGTCTAGCGCCCGATCCAAGAAAGGCATTTTCTTAAAACTTCCCACTTCATCTTTTGTTTTGATCGCAACGCGCTTTCGATTTTCACAACAAACGGAATCGCAACAGCAACCACAACCACAACCACAACCACAACCACAACTACAACCGCCACAACCCAGCTTCCTCAAACTCAATTCAACCGGTCCTCGATCCCACTCAGACCTTCCTGTATTCAATTGAACTAATTCAATTCGAATCGCATCAAGTCAAACCTTCCTCCACTCAATCCACCACGACCACCAGCCAATTCACCCCTTCCTCTCCAACAGCCACAAGAAAAACACACCTTGATAAAAGCGCGAGAATATCGTCAAGATGCCTCGCAGCTTTTCTGTCGCATCCTCTACTGGATCGCGCCATGGCACCATCACTGATTCATCATTCTTCGACTTCGACCCCGTCCGAGACGGCGCAGACCAATCATCTGGCATATTTGACCACCTCAACAATACCACCGGCAGAGCTCCCTCCATCCCTATCCGTGACACCGCGAAGAAGGCAGGCCGATGGTCTCCAACACCACCACGCGACATCACCTTGAATGCCTCCAGGGTCGGACGCGCTTTTCCAGGCTTTACCTCAGGGAACTTCGACGACTCGATGAGCATAGAGAAGCCCCGTGCCTACTCTCGGTTTCCCCCTCTTCCCAAGCTTCGAAACTTCAGCATCAAAACAACAGATGGAAATCAATCTGTCTTAGATGATAGACCAATTGTCTCTATCAGCACTAGCCCCGGCAAGTCAGCAACTATCACAGTCCGACCAACATCACCCATAATCGCCGCTCTCCAAAACTTCGCAGCGGATACGCCGTCGGATATCGAGGCTCAATTTAAGGCGGTTACAGAGCGATACGCTGGCAAGTTTGCCCAGGTAAGCAATCTTCTCCCTCTGCGGCCATGGGGTACCTTGACTGACGATGCGCAGGATACCAGATTTCCTTCCGCTGGGGATGCTACAAAAGACAGCATCCAGGATGCCACCAAGCAGGATACTTCCTTCAGCAGGGTAAGCATCCAACTGTTTTTAAGTACGGCCTGGTAAGTTTGACTGACGATACGCAGGATATCAGATTTGCCCCCGCTGAGGATGCTACACAAGGCAGCACACAGGATGTCACCAAGCAGACTACTTCGTTTAGCAAGGTATGCTTCATACTGCCCTCATCAAACTCTGCGCACATTGTTAACAAGTGGCAGCGTCCTCAGGACTTCAAACCCAAGAATACCAGATTCGCCAAGCCCAACATTTCTTCTCCAATGAAACCATATACACAGCAGGGCCAGGTTCATACCCGGGCAGCTCTTCAAAGGCATGGTCCAGTCGCGCGTTTCAGTACCCCTCAGGAAGAAGAGGACATACTTGCGATGGTTGAATCGTTGAAAGCCCAAGTCCTGGATCTTGAGGCGAAGGTCGAGGAATACCGCCAGGCACGCGACAAGGTCGTCGCGGATCGCGAGATGGGCATGCGTAGCTCCTTGGCCACGATCCTCGGGCTTCAATCCGACTGCGATCATAAATGCCGTTACATCGAGGAACTGGAATCCCGGAATTCCGAACTGATAACCCAAAAATCCGTTTGGCAGGCGCGGTTGCAGAAGCTGGAGGAGGATTTGAACGCAGAACGTGACGCTCGACTGCTCGGTGATGCTCAAAATGCGCGTGATGCTCAAAAGGCGCGCGAAGACCAAAGAGCTCTCGAAGTTCAAAGAGCCCGTGCCGACGAACAAAGAGCTCGCGAGGACCAGAGAGCTCGTGACGATCACAAAGCACGCGAAGATCAAAGAGCAGCGAAGTCAAAGATCTCGCGACGATCAAAAAGCTCGCGCCGACGATGAAAGAGCTCGCGATGACCAGAGAGCTCGTGACGACCACCAGGCGCGCGAAGATCAAAGAGCACGCGATGACCAGAGAGTTCGTGATGATCACAAGGCCCGCGAAGATCAAAGAGCACGCGAAGTCCAAAGATCTCGCGACGATCAAAGAGCTCGCGATGTCTCCTTGGCACGTAATATCCCCAGACCCACTTCTCGAGGTACCCGGGCACCAGACGCCACCACCGCCTCCAAATCCAACAGATCAAGCCGTGACGTCCAAAAACTCGTCCCAGTATCGAAGCGTGTCACCGATCCGGATGCCACTATGCGCCCATCTCTGGAGCCCGTCCGCGCCCTTGCGGATGTGGTCAGAGGGGAAGAGAAGCAGCTCCGACGGTTGAAGGCAAAGCGTGCTGAGCTTCAAGCTCAGTACGATGCCCACGACCCTTCATACGGTATGAGAAAGCGACAGTCCATGAAGAAGGCATTGGATGATCTCACGATTGAGATTGAGCATCTGTGCAACAAGATCTACCGATTGTACGATGTTGTCGAAGTCGTCCATGACGACGATACGACCCAGGGGCTTGTGTCTGGAGGAGATGATACGGAAGACTTGCCATGGGACGGGATTGAGGAGGAGTAGATATTCGGCAGGGAATAATGTATGGTTAGAGCATCAGCTACAGCAAGGTTTCAGGGTATTGTTTTCCGGCAGGGATTAAAGGGAATTCAGGCATAAATTGCACGGCGTTGGAGGATTGGTTTTTGGCGGGCATTGATGACGGATTAGAGCGTCGAGTGCACAAGGCGTAAGTTGGTTGGTTTTTTGTATAATACTCTCTGCCCTGATTCCTGCGGGATAGGCAACGCATTAATGAATTGATGAACATACCCTTTCTTTTTGTCTTTTGAAATATGTTTTGGAGCCGTGTTTTGATATGTATACAGGGATTGTGACGTTTCGTCTTTTCCTCTGCCATCGTGTAAATCGGTATCCGAATAAGGCTTCCCGACGCGGACCCTCTGAAATGAATAACTTCTTGGATTCAAGCATGTAATGCACTGAGCGAATTTAAGCCCTATCTAGCAAGGCAAGCTTCATTTTCTAACGTTCACATCATCATTGTCTTACAAGTCTGAAAGCCAACTAACTGACCAACCAACCCATCCCCCTCAGAATCGACAGCACCATGGCCGAACGAGCGCCTGCTCGATATCCAGTACGGCTATGCATTTGTAAGTGGGTTTGCAGTAATGTTCGGGTTCGATCTGAAGCCCATGTTCAGGCCAAAGAGGGGAGAGTAGATATATCTGATGCTGCGTTTAGTTTTTCCAAGGAGCCCTCGATCTTGCACATGATGAACAGACAATGCGAAAGATCTGGAATGGTAACGGCGATTTCCTTGAGGTATGTATGTATACCAGCAGGTCTATATATAAACTTACTCTTCTCGGTATCAGACTTTTGGGTGTTGGTTGGATATCTGATTCTCGATGGTCAGAGGGTTGAAAAGGTTGGGGAGCTAGGTGAGTCTTGTTCTGCATCGCTGAAGAAGTCCTCTTTTTCTTTCCTTTTTTTCTGAGAGAAAAAAAAAATACGGATGATGTGATATCACTTGTTGTATCGTCGTCTTTGAGCCACGACGGTCTTTGCTTTTTCTACAAAATCTCAGCAGGGCTCTCGACCGTAGCGGCTTTAGCCTTCGATGGATTTGGAACAGAGTTTACGAGAAGTTGGATCTTGTTGGACAAGGTTGATGCGTGAGTTTCAAGGCTTCGAATCGAGTATCGCAGTCCATCCTAGCCGTCGTACCGGCTTACTCGGTGGGACTCTAACCATCTCCTTCTTTTTATCGTTGAGAGTCGAGTTTACATACCTCGTACGGTAGATTGTTTTCCTAGAAGTTGGGGCCTAGGCCATCTATCCTTAAGAACTTGGTCATCGAGGTTTTCTTGTTGCATGCAGAGGAGGGGGAATATTGTCTCATTGATGGTCTCCCACTTAGCAATGTTAAACCCAGCTTCAGAGAATCACAGGTCGTTCCAGCCTTGTAAAGCAAGATCTTCCACTGTGGCGTCGAACGGGGTATGGATAATATCTGGCAATGATTCGACCTCCTCTCCCAAGGTTGCATACTCGCTACACGCGCGGAGGCAACGCTGGCCGCTTAGGCTTTTGGATAACGACCGGATATCTTCGTAGTCTGAATCCTCCTTGACAGCCGGGGAAAGATGTTGATCTATCAGCTTCTACAATACTTCCACCACTAGGAGCAGTGGTGAATGCTCGGCTACTTTCGGCGATCGATCGGATCTGACTCTAGGTTTTGACTTAGGAGCCTTCAAGTACTCCATCGTATTCTGGCTCCTCATCCCTAGCTTTCTCTTTTGAGTTCAGGCTCAGCTGTATCTTCTCCGTCAATGGTTCCTCCGGAGAGGAATCCTCTAGGGCGTCAAGGTGACGTGCTTGGAGATGGGTCTTTGCTGAAGGACTTGAGCATCTGCCGCCATATTGACCTCAACAACTTTTTTTCGTTCGCACTTCAAGCTCGTCACCGCTGTATCTTCTAATCACGATTCAAAGTTGCGTCGCAAGCTCCTCCCGGTGGCATGCTTGAGCGATCTCTTCGTCCAAATGCACTATCATCTGCTTTCTCGTAGACGTAGCATGCTGATATCGGTGCCAAATCAGCAGAAATTTCGCCGAAAGAGCCAGCACTTGCTTGATACCGGGAGAGAGGACTTCTCCTATATAGAGATGACCCGTTTCAACCCGTTTCTCAAGTTTAATCAAAATCGCTTACATCGACACCAGGACCACACCCTTTTCGCAGCTGATTACTTATTCAGCTTCGCTATTAAAACACCAAAATTATTTTCAGCCCCTCGAAATACCTGCTTCATGGAAAGTTCTATCTCGTTAATTTCTTGAACTCTTAGATTTTCGCAATTCAAATCCAAGTTTTGTAATAAGGTATTGTGTCGAAGAAAATGAGAGTTTCCTTTCAGGATTAAGCGAACGTCGCGAATTATTTCGATATGCTGATTTCGAGGTAAAAAAAAAATAATTCGTTGCTGCACTCACCTTTCTATTGATCAAAGACATGTATTGATATCTCGATGCGGGAATGTTTAGAGATAGCCTAATTAGTTGTGCATGGAGCGTAATTGCATAAATATCGTAAAGTGACGGCCTCAATGCGAAGCCTGTCTATCTTCATAATGATAGTCTGGCTAGGGTCTCGTGCATATCTAGCAAACCTCGACAAATAAGAATCGGATATTGATGTGATGATCGAAGCCAAGGTTACCTAGTAAGCTATCAAGTTGACAGAAAACTCGCTAAGATGTGATAAAGAAAAAAGGAAATCTATGCAATACGACTGATCTGCCGTGGGCACCGAAACAATGTATACGGAGCGCTACCGTCAAAGGAAGCCTCAGCTAGTCTAGTGCCTCGCTACCGTTAGCTCTTCTTCAACAAACTTGCCACTTCCGGGTCTTCAGGAATGGATGGTCCCTGTGTTCGCTTTATGGAGAGACCGCGTAACCAGCCAGACTCCCGCGAAATGCGAAAAAAAATGACGATAAGAATACCGGTATAGGAAAGAGGTTGCCCTAGTCTTAAGCCGTCGCTAAACGTCGGAGTATCAGCAGTAACCGTGCGCCAGCCAATAAGGCTAACAGTCGTTGGAGCGTGTGACAGACAGCAGCCGACAGCTTGCCATACTGTACTACTGTATTGGCGCACGGCTATAATTGCGCAACCTTCTTCACAAGCATAAGCATAATTATACCCTGCTGAGGCTTGGGCAACCAAGGCGCTTAAAGTGGGATTTTATACTTTTGGGCCCCCTTGGCTTGAGGAAGCTAATTATTACTACGTCCCAGGCGTAAGTATTACCCCTCAAGGGTAGGGTAACCAGGGGGTTTAAAGTGGAAGCTAAACTTTTGAGGCACCCTCGAGGGGTAATACTTAGGCCTGTACCGTGGGTATATCCTGTACGGAGCTGAGGTACGGAGTATAACGGAAATCAAGGCGCTGCCAAGACGGATGTTTAATGCTTCAGCTGATTATTGTTATTCTATCAGACAGAAGGGTCTGATACTTCTGTTCAGCATTACTCCTGTTACCACATCACGAACAAACGGGAGACCTCAGGTGTAGAGAACTGCTCTCTATACTCCAACCGTATTGCTGGGGACGCTTTGGCGTAGCTTTCTCGCGTATTTTTTGTTTTGGCCAGTAGCCGCATGTACTACGTACTACGTACTACTACGGAGCCCAAATAGCTTATTCGCTCGAATAAGCAAATTTAAATTCAGCTACGTGTAGAGTTAATGACTTGAGGTGGCGCTTCTGACGAGGCTCGTATCTAATATTGGGCGGCCGCCACGTTGGCCGCCAAAGCTCCATCATTCATTTGTAGCCGCCCTCCCCTAATTAAATTTTCCCGCTTGCATGGTATTGCTTCTTGCTATCTTGACTTTATTGGTTTCCGCAGTCAAGACTTCAAGACTTTCTCGTATATCCGGCACTTCTCTTTGCATATGCCTTGGCTTCTAATATCTTTCGTACCAAGCCTTCTTGCCTGCTCGTATTTCTACAGTCAAAGTGGAATGCTCACTCCACGATAAAGTTGTAGCCAATGATTTCCCATGCCTCGAACATGGTAACCGCTCAACCAGATCCACTTGCTGATCTATGCAAAGAAATTCTTAGCGATGCCGCTTATATACTTTTTTTTTTCGAAGTCCCTGATTACAATTTGAAATTAAAGTTATTTATACTTGCAACCTTAAAAAAAAACAATCGAAACAAGTAGATATAATATGATAATATCTATCGCCTCGCGGGATTATATATTAGACACTCTTTATTCTTGCGATTGTATCCAATTTTATTATAGCTCCTATAAAATATAGCTTTGCCGCCTTCTCTAATGTATTCTTTATTTCATTTCCCCCCCTTTTTTTCTCGGTTTTTTTTTTCTTTTTTTTTCTTGGTTCTCTCTCTCTCTCTCTCTC